TATTCTATTCTATTCTATTCTATTCTATTCTATTCTATTCTATTCTAAATCAATGACTAGGAGCACCTGGTTATGATAACAGAATAAGGGACCTTGGAGGTCTTCTAGTCCAACCCCCTTATCAGGCAGGAAACCCTATACCATTTCAGACAAATGGCTCTCCAGACTCATCTTAAAAACTCCCAGTGATGGGGCACCCACAACTTCTGAAGGAAAGCCACTCCAAGGATTAATTGTTCTCTCTGTCGGGAAATTTCTCCTTAGTTCTAGGTTGCTTCTCTCCTTGATTAGTTTCCACCCGTTGCTTCTTGTCCTGCCCTTCAGGTGCTCTGGAGAATAGCTTGACTCCCTCTTCCTTAGGGCAGCCCATGAGATATTGGAACACTGCTATCATGTCAACCCTAGTCCTTCTTTTCATTACTTTCTTTTTTTTTAAATAAAGTTTTATTTGGGTTTTCACACACAAAATACAACTAAAACATCTTTTTTGAAAATAGCTTGGTCCCAGGTTGAACTTCTTTATACAGACACAAAACTCAATTTCATGCTCCTTTTTGTATTCTATTCCATATCTTATACTGTTTTACATTTTCTATATAGTTTTCCCCCTCTTTTAATTTTCTCAATTTTATTTTGATTATCTCATCTCAATTCAAATCATTATATTTATACTTTTGTCTGTTCTGTTTCAATTTTATATTATCTTTTCTCATTAAACAAATTTTCTCCTGTAGTTACTAATTGGAGTATGACACCTTTATATCTTTTAATTACATCCATTCAACTCTTATTTAAACTTCAATATATACCTTAAGTTTATGACCTTCAATCTAATACATAATACATAACTTCCAAGCGAATTCTGCTTGGCACATTCTTATAATACACACTATATTCTTTTTTTTTTTAAAAAAAGAAAGATTGTAAATATATGTAATTCTAAACCCTCATTTCATTCCAGTTCAGTTCTATCATTAATAATAATTAAAAACATAACATCTTTAACACTTCTTTTCAATTAAATATCATACTTCCTTAAAAACACATAATCTCCATAATTAATTTTTCCCTTATTTCTCTTCACATATGTTTTATAAATCATTAAATATACATTTTGTTACATTGATTTATTGACAAGCATTCCACTGAATTATGATAGCTATTTTATCAGACATTTTAATCATACATTGTTTCATATTTTCTAAAATTATTTCTGCTTCTAATATAACCATACTATCTTATGTACCTTTGCAGAATCCCTTTTTCCATTAAGTTTTCACCCATTATCTCTAAATAGGCCCTGTTTCTCTATATTTTGTTTCTGTCCTTTATAACTTCTTTTCCTTTCTTTCTTCCCTCTCATCTTCTCCCTCCCCTTTTTACCCCCTTGTCTCTCTAGTTCTAATTCTCTCTTCTGCATTTCCCTCTTCTGTTGCTTTCTGATTTTATACTTATTTTTCACTCTTTTTTTGGGGGGGGGGGTTGTTTTTCCCAATCTTAAACTTTCCATTCTCTTTCCCCCCTTTCCCTTTTTTCCCATATCTAAGATTACTTGTTCATTAAAGATGGCTTCTTCTTTGTTGCAATCTTCTTGTTCTGCAGGCATTTCTTGTTGTTTCTCATAATTCCAAATCTCCATTTCTAAAAACTGAAATACGAAGCCAAAAGAACCTTTCCCTTCTTCTGCATCTTCTTTGTACTTTTTAAGTTTCATTTTCAGTTCTTCTAAAAGTGGAGCCATTTTAAAAAGTTTTAAACAACCACCCGATTGATTTTAGTCATTCAAAACAATAACCAAGAATCCAGAAATCATCAAGTAATCCAGATAGTCCCAAGTTATATCTTCTTATTTCCTTTGCGACTTTCTCTTCCTGGGGTTTTTGTTGCAATATTTCAGTTAGAATGTATCTTTTGTAAGCTTTGTTGAGATTTTGCTGTAAGTTCTTTTTAATTCCAGGCAGTCTCCTCCCTTCCAGATCCTACCCTTTTATTCTTTTTCTCTCCTTTCCTGTTTTCAAAAGCTTTTAATTATCCAGAAATCTTTATTATCCCTTTGACTTTTTATTTTCAGCATTAAATGCCTATTAATGTCAAAGTGGATTTTTTTCCAATTTCTTGCTTAAGTCTCTTAGATGTCCGTATAGGAAAAGGAGAAAACCAAATCTTTTCCCTTTTCTCTCTTCTTCACAGCTTAAACATCTTCTTAGGGAACAATGTTATTGTTTTTTAACAGTTTCAATTCCAGGGTACCTTATTTGTTGCTTTTGCTGTTTGACCCGGTCAACCAAAACTTTCTCTTCTTATCTTCCTCCTGCACATTCTTTTCCGGTCGAGTTCTTCTTTGTGGTGGCCATTTCTGACCACCACTGCAACCACCTTCAGGAAAGGGAATAATGGCCAGCTGGGGAGGAGAGATGCAGCTCTCCTCCACCCTGCTTGCAGTCTCCCCACTCTTCACCACATCTACGGGGTGGCTTAGCTGTGTAACCAGCCAGCTCAGGGCGCTCCAGTGGTGAGCACGGATCAAAACCGTGCAGCGTCACGGTTGCAGTCTGTCGCTGAAGAAGCTCAAACCGGACTTCCCTTCTTTTCATTACTTTCATAAGTATCCTAAAAAGTTTATTCAACTGTGTTTATTCAAAGTATTGACCATCTTGGTGTTTTTCCGAACTACACTTTCCCTGAAGGGTTCAAGTCAGAGGTGGTATTCAGCAGGTTCTGACCAGCTCTGGAGAACTGGTAGTGGAAATTTTGAGTAGTTTGGAGAACTGGTATTAACCTTCCCCCAGGAATGGGGTGGGAATGGAGATTTTGCAGTATCCTTCCCCTGCCATGCCCACCAAGCCACACTACGCCCACCAAGCTACGCCCACAGAACCGGTAGTAAAAAATGTTGAATCCCACCACTGGTTCAAGTACTATCTGGTGTCCATCTCAGTAGACATGGGATCAGATTGCTGATGATGCCACAAAAGTTATCTTTATTACTTCCAGAAGTCCTTTGAATTCCAACAACCCATTCTCTATGTGTTTTAGCCTCCAGCCCTCTAATCATCTTTGTTGCTCGTTTCTGCACTCTATAGCTCTGAGAAGCGAAGCAATCTTCAAGAATCTAGACAGATGTCTACTGAGAATTCAGGGTGGGCTCCTTTTTAAAAAAGGTTATTTTCCAGGCAGCTGAACCTCACCAGCCAAACTTGCACATTGTCAAGGCCACATATATTTAATATAGGATATGTGGTGGAGACTAAAACATCAGCAGGAGGGGGAAAAATACCCAAATTAGCAGGATGTTGTTTTTTTTTCAGTTGACTTCCTCAGTGTTTTGTCTTGTGGTTTTCAATTTCAAGATTAATATTTCTGAGTTGATTGATCTTGAGTGTTCACATCATGGGCACCAGCCAAAAGAAGGAAACATATTGATTTAAAACAAAGGAGACAATTCTGAAACACTCTTCGTGCTCCTAAAACATCTTTCTAATCCAGAACAGCAGGCGTGCTATTCTCAGCCAGTTTTCTGATCTATAGCCTTATGTGGCATTATAGTTTTGACATATCTTGATATCTTTGTTTTGACAAAGTGCCTTTTGTACATCCTATGAAGTACAGATGTGCTGTGGATAAAGAGCTCTGAATAAGAGCATTTGACTATCTCCCTGGGACACCCCTCCATGTAGCATTTGTAATAGCTTACAGCAGTTTGTTCCATGACCATTCAAAGTTCCATCCAAGTCAGAGCTGAAGATGCTTCTTAGATGAGAAATGAAACATCTTCAAAGAAAACCCAAGAAAGTCCAGTTTTGCCTTTTTTGGAAAAAGCACGTTTGGGACAACCATGACCTGGATGATGGAGAATTTCAATAGACTTTTACCTATCTAATTTGGGATGAACCTCCTTGGAATGGGGTGGGAGTAGCAATGGATTTCCAGAGGAAAAAATGCAGACTACAGGAACCAGGAGCACCACTCAGGTGACCCTGAGGATACAGACAAACCTCCAAGTGGCCTCAACAGCCCTCTAAAAGGATGCAAATGACCAGCTGTCTTCAAGGAGTATAAATCCTTCCATTCCCCACCATCCAGTCAGATCTGAAGAAGCTTCTGGGATGAGAAGCAAAATGTCTTCAAAGAAAAATCAAGAAAGTCCAGTTGCCTCTTGAAAAAAAGGACCCTTGGGACAGCAACCATGAACTGGACGACTGAAAATCTCTACCGACTTTTTAGCTATGCAGTTTGGGATGAACACCCTTTGAATGGTCCGAGACTATGAATGGATTTCCAAAAAAATGCAGACTACAGGAACCATTTGTGCTTCAGCTTGAGATGTAGACAACAAAGACTCATCCCCAATAGCTTGTGTGTGTCTTCAACAGTGAAGGGACACAGGGTAGAAAAACATCTTGCAGAAAGCACAGCTCCACAACACAGATCCATTCAGCAGTTCCAAGAAGGCTCCACACCCATTTGCACTACTCAGGTGACCCCCGAGGACACAGATAAACCTCCAAGTGGCCTCAACGACCCTGTAAAAGGATGCAAATGACCAGCTGTCTGCAAGGAATGTAAATCCTTCCATTCTCCACCATCCAGTCAGAGCTGAAGAAGCTTCTTGGATGAGAAGCAAAATCTTCAAAGAAAAAAACAAGAAAGTCCCAAAGAAAAGCACCTTTGGGACAACCATGACCTGGATAATAGAGAATCTTCATAGAATTTTGTCTGGTTTCCAAGTGATGAAATCCATTTGAAAAGAAAAGAACAAAGTCAATCTTCCAAGACAATTTATTTTATTTTGGAACGCATCAAATTGGCAAAGTCTGTGGTAATTCTGGATCTGACACAACCCAGAATTACCTCACAATATTAGAAGTTAGAAGCAACCCCCAAAAGTCACATTCTCCAATAGAAGTAATTCAACGTTGCTTGATGTCATGAATATCCACCTCAAGGGGCCTAAGCACAGACAGTTTGTTTTCCCATGGGTAGAAGAACCACCTAGCCTAAACAACTCTCTCTATCTCCACTCCTCCCCACTTAGGAATGTGGCAAGCCCAAAACCCTTCCTCCCATAACTGCCAAAGAGAAAGTAAGAAAAATAATATATACTAAGCCTAACTAAAATGGCTACACATGTCAATTTAGGGCTTGACACATTCAAAGTTACAATGGCACTGAAAATTGTGATGTATGACCATTTTTCACACTTACAGTCATTGCAACATCCCCTAGGTCATGTGATCAAAATTCAGACACTTGGCAACAAGCTCATATTTATGACGGTTGCAGTGTTTCACGATCATGTAAAATAGAATAGAATTCTTCATTGGCCAAGTGTGATTGGACACACAAGGAATTTTTCTTCAGTGCAAATGCTCTCAGTGTACATAAAAGAAAAGATAAATTTGTCAAGAATCAAGAATCATCAGGTCCAACACTTAATAATAGTCATAGGGTACAATAAGTGACCAAATCAAACTGGGAAACAGTCAATAAAAATCATTAGGATACAAGTGACAAAGTTACAGCCATACAGTCACAAGTGGGAGGGGATGGGTGATAAGGAGTGATGAGAAAATTAATAGTAAAGGTAATAATAATAATTATTGACCATCTTTTTGTGACTTTCTGACAAGTGAAGTCGATGAGGAAGCCAGACCAGAAAAGATGAGACTCTCCTAGTTTTGAACCAGTGATGGCACTTCCAAATTTGAGCAGTGAATGGAGTGGACAATGAAAGTCTAGAAACGATGTAGTAGCATGATTGTCTTAAGCGAAAAGTTGTGAGTTGTGGCATGAATCTGACGTTCATTCATATTTATTACTTGGGCTGCCAAGGAGGAAGGATTTTCTGCCTCAGCTATCAAAATAATTTCCTTGAGCCTTAGTCCCGTGTAGCCCCTTGATTTATATTCTTCTTCTCCTAGGCCAGCAATAGATCTTCAACTAGTCCACTAAATAGTTCCAAAAAGTCTGCCCTGCAGTAGACCACGGAGACATGTCTTCTGAGGTAGAGACGTTCTACTCTAGAGAGAGAATTTATATGGTGACTTGCAATTCTGTGCTCCAGCTACATGAAACCAAATACACTCCTGCACTGTTCTCAGAAATAACCCATTAGTCAGGCTGACATACCACAGGGAGAGAAATATATTTCGCATTGGCTCTTACCTGAAATCTCACTGCCAATCATGACCAGCTATCTAATGTTCTAGTTTATTCATCTCTTCCAGGATGGGGACAGCATTGATCCTAGACAAAAGCCCTCCACAAAGACTTAGATTTGTATACTATACCGGGACAAATCAGAGCATTAGAAAGTAACCTACATAAAGCAAAACGAACAGAAATGTGTACGTCCGAACATGTGGTTACAAATCTCAGTATGAGTTGAAAATGCAAACGTGCTTCTCATTAGATACCTAAATTCTAACCATATACACAAATCTTGGGCCTCCTTTTACCATAGATCATCAGAGTGTCTTTGTGAGGGAGATGGGCAGCTCCAAAATGTGAC